CTTCTGGATCTGCTGGACAGCATCATGCAGTACAGTCAGGTGTTGCTCTCTGCAGGTATTACAAAGTCGTTTGAGGGTGCAAACCTCCGGCTGGTGAGTTCTTCCACATTTCCAGCACCGCTGTTCATCAGTTAACCACCTCACCATCTGGTCGGTGGTCAGTTTCTTAAACTCTACACAAGTGTTCAGGAAATGCTCCTTATTCTCGCAGCACGGACAGTATGGTTTTTGTCTGGATGAAGTCTTTGGTCAGAAAGAACTCCCTTCTGCGCTGGGGGTTTCCCGGGAAGTCAGGAAGAAGGCTGTAGATTTCTCCTTTGGTTTATTGGAAAGACGCTGGTCTTTCTTTGTCGGCTTATAAGCTTCAAGACTATAGAGTGAAGCAGCTCTACCTGCGATGCGCTTCGCTTGGGATTTCATCTGCAGCCAGGAACTCAGATCAGGCAGGGTATAGGTTTGGTCAGTACCTGTCCGAAGAATGCCTTGGTTCAGGCAATGCTCTACAAACCCATCGCGATAACTGGGTGGCATCTTACTCAGTAGTCGACATGAGACCCACATCTTAGCTCAAAGCTGTTCTGGCCCTCCAGTGTCCTAAGCATCCCTACTAGAGATTGGATAGACAAGGCAAATGCATCAAAGGCTTCTGCGTCGCCGAATTTGATAGCTGGAGCATTCAGAATTATGCCCAATTCGCTTTGGACGAGCTGACGGGGTTGCCCATACTTGTCCTGCAGGGCGTGCATGGCTGTTGGGTCGTGCATGTATGCCTTAGCCAGCTGGATTGCACTAGGTAGCCGTAGGTGCCCAAGCAGCACTTGATATTTATACTGCTCATTCAGGTGTGGATGACTGTTCAACAGGTTGTCAAGGGCCATTTTCAATAAGGCAAAGTCACTTTCACGGCCACTCTCAAAGGAGGGAATCATAGGTTTGGGAATGCCATAACCTGTGGCGAGGAAAGGGTACGCATTAGCTGTCAGTAGTTGATGCAGCTCGGACTTAGTCCGGGTGGGAGTGCAAGATAACTCTGCTTCGGCAGGGTTAGTGCAGGCTGCACGAGCGTACTGCGATGGCTGAACTGAGAATGGAGTAGATGCCTGGTAAGAGATATCAGGTGCAAAGGTAGTAGACCGAGGTCCAGCTGGAACAGTATGCAATGGATGCAAGGCCATGGTTACTCGAGGTGGAGCTACCACGGGCGCTGGAGGCTGAGCCACAGTAAGTGCTGAGGGTGGAGCGACTAGCGGTACAGGAGGCTGACCCACGGGACCGACTGAAGGTAGAGCTGCATGGGTGCTCGAATTACTATTCTCCGATGGGCATGGTGAGACTCTGGAACCACTGGGTTCTTGTGCCTTCTCTTTAAGGAGAGAAGTAACCATCTTGGCTATCTCCAACTCGTTTACCCTCTTCTTTAGCTGTCGTCGCCTCTCCAGCTGTCTGCTCAATGACTCTTGGGTTCTAATGGCTTCTTCCTGTAGCTGCTGGGCCTCTCTGGCTTGAGCTTGAAGTCGTTGACATTCATATTCGACTTGTTGATCCTCTTCTAGGTGCTGTTGGAATTCCTCAAGTTCCATCTGCTTTACTCGCTCTTCAAGCTGGGCTGTTTCCAGGTCTGATAAGGCGTGGGAAGGGAATCTGCCTATCGACGAGCGTGATGCCCTTGTGGATCTGGAGCTGGAACTCCTCTGGGATGAGCGTATTTTACCACTATGTGAACACTGGGAAGCAATAGCCGGTTGCTCGGTTTGAGTTTGTCCCTCAAGAGGGAGTGTTGAAACCTCATAATCGGTCAGGTAAGCAGGTGGCCGTCGCTGTCTCTGCGAAACACGTGGGGGTGCTGAGTCAGCCTGGACATCTGTCTGTTCCATACCTTAATCAGTACTCTAATCCGGCTCGAAGGACCATAAAATGGAGAGAATGTTGTCTCCGGGAGTTTAGCTGATTTGATTTAGAGCGGCAAGGTATGGTGGGTGTGTTCCAGTTAAAGAACACGGAGGCAGCTTCCAAGTTTAGGAGATTTATTCAGCTGTGGTCTGTAATAATGATACATAAAGCAACTATCAGTACAGCACACATAAAACATTCAACATGCCCAGACATTATTCTAGCACAGAGATAGCACAAGGAACTGTATTCAACACTCACATCTATAACAACTTCAACTAATTACACAAGATTTATAATTAGCATTAACTAGCTTAGTAGCTTACATAGCATATTAGCGCATTAGCATAAGATAACATTAGCATAGTCACGAGGGAACAAATACACACAATAGCATCTGACATACACAACATCATGTAAACAGAACCCACCTTCTGGCATTCACACACAGCAATAAACCAAAACCCACGAAATGCTGATGAGAGGACACAAGGAGCAATGCTGGCTATCAGCAGCTACAAGGCAGACTAGCAGCACACGGCACAGAGTGGTGCATTCAAGAAGCGTCAGCATAGATATGGTGAGTTCAATGACGTAGGACATATCAATTTCCACAGCGCAAACACTATCTATAAACAAACCACAACACTTCAACCAAGCAAATAATGTGTAAACAGTGGGCTTTCTAACAGTGTTTATTTGTTTCGCTTGTACATAGTTGACACTAAAGGTCCACAGCTAGTGTTCTTATGGCACACATTGTCGAGAACACATATCTACATATATAGATGTAGATGTTAAATTAAGAAGTCTAAAAAAACCAAATGGTCTCCAATGTTACTGTAGTTATTAGTTATACTGTGACTTATTTGGCAAATATACCCTTTGTGATGGCAAAGGCAATATGGATTACAGATGGGGGGGGCACACATTTTGGCAGCCGATGCCACACAGCCTGATAAAATCTGTATCCCTCCATAACTTTTGCTGTGAATAAGACATCTTCTCCAAAGTTACTGTACTTATTGGTTATACTGAGATTGATTTTGCAAATAAACTCATTCGTGATAGCTTCGCTACAAAGTGTAAACCGAGTGTAAATTCACTGGAGAGCAACGTGTTTTCATGATCGCATTTGATTTTACAGTATTATAGTATCAAAGTCTTTTTCTAGGCAAAGTATTCCCAGCAGGTTATTTCAGTGTACAGTATAAGGTAAACTGTCTTCCACACGGCACATTACAATGTCACGAAACTAATATTAAATTCATCGAGTCTGCTGTTTTCCAGGTTTTACTCTTTATCGCGTCGACTGCAGATCAGTGACAAGTAGCGTACAGAACGGAGCTGGGCAAGTGGCTCCTCCTACTTTGCACGCTCCCATGAATGGGGAAACAATTTTTGACGGGGGTAACTACTTTGGCACAACACCGGCCCCCAGGTTGCAACCAGCTAGCACGTAGCCTGCCACAGCGCCTGTTCCCACGCCTTGCGTGGGAGCAGATGGGGCTCGGCGGGGCCCCGGAAGAAGGCGGCGGAGCTGCCGCGCAAGGAGCCGGCGCCGGAGGAGCCGCTCCAGCCGGGAGAGACAGCGGCGGAGGCAGCGCCCGAGGAGCCGTTCCAGCCGAGAGATTCATGCCCCGCCGATTTAAATATTGTACTGGGTCCTGTGGTTGGAGTTGTTGTTGTGGTGATGTTGAATGGGCAGCGGGAGAGCTGCAGCTCTACGTGTATTGTGAACAGCAACCGTCCAGTATTAATAAAGAATGGTTAAAATGCCACTGGGTCTGCCGTGGTCGTTTACACACCTTTTGCTGCAATTACAGCTGCCAGTCTTTTAGGGTATGTCTCTACCAGCTTTGCACATCTAGAGACTGAAATCCTTGCTCATTCTTCTTTGCAAAACAGCTCCAGCTCAGACAGATTAGATGGACAGCATTTGTGAACAGCAGTTTTCAGATCTTGCCACAGTTTCTCGATTGGATTTAGATCTGGACTTTGACTGGGCCATTCTAACACATGGATATGTTTTGTTTTAAACCATTCCATTGCTTTATGTTTAGGTTCGTTGTCCTGCTGGAAGGTGAACCTCCGCCCCAGTCTCAAGTCTTTTGCAGACTCCAAGAAGTTTTCTTCCAAGATTGCCCTGTATTTGGCTCCATCCATCTTCCCATCAACTTTGACCTGCACACCTTCTTCCACATGTTTGCTGTGTCCCCCACATGGCTAGTGGCAAACTGCAAACGGGACTTCTTCTGATTTTCTGTTAACAATGGCTTTCTTCTTTCCACTCTTCCGTAAAGGCCAACTTTGTGCAGTGCACGACTAATAGTTGTCCTATGGACAGATTCCCCCACCTGTGTGTGAATGTGTGTGTGAATGGGTGCATGACTGGATGTGTAAAGTGCTTTGGGGTCCTTAGGGACTAGTAAAGTGCTATACAAATACAGGCCATTTACCACCTGAGCTGTAGAGCTCTGCAGCTCATCCAGAGTCACCATGGGCCTCTTGGCTGCATTTCTGATCAGCGCTCTCCTTGTTCAGCCTGTGAGTTTAGGTGGACGGCCTTGTCTTGGTAGGTTGTGCCATACTCCTTCCATTTCTGAATGATCGCATGAACAGTGCTCCGTGGGATGTTCAAGGCTTGGGAAATCTTTTTGTAGCCTAAGCCTGCTTTAAATTTCTCAATAACTTTATCCCTGACCTGTCTGGTGTGTTCTTTGGACTTCATGGTGTTGTTGCTCCCAGTACTCTCTCAGATAACCTCTGAGGCCGTCACAGAACAGCTGTATTTATACTGACATTAGATTACACACAGGTGCACTCTATTTAATCATTAGCACTCATCAGGCAATGTCTATGGGCAACTGACTGCACTCAGACCAAAGGGGGCTGAATAATTACGCACACCCCACTTTTCAGTTATTTATTTGTAAAAAAAAAAATGTTTAGAATCATGTATGATTTTTGTTCCACTTCTCACGTGTACACCACTTTGTGTTGGTCTTTCACGTGGAATTCCAATAAAATTGGTTCATGTTTGTGGCTGTAATGTGACAAAATGCGGAAAGTTCAAGGGGGCCAAATACTTTTGCAAGCCACTGTAACTTAATAGTACTAGAACATTCATAAAAACTTCTGTCATATTTGCTTAGGAGGACTCAATAAAAAGCAATTCACTCTGAATTTCTCCAGAGGGAGCCAGGTTCCAAATGAGAATAGAATGGAGGACAGCCAGGTGAGTATTCTAGGTGAGTCCTTGTACTTGAGTTTGCAGAAATCTTGGAATGGAACTGGAGGTAACACTGAACTCAGCAGCAGCAGACAGGAAAGTGAGCAGAAATTCAAGCTGTCGAAATGCACACACATTTAAAATCAGAGCAAAAATGAAAGATGACAGGAAATATCAGTATATCTCAGATTTCTGTAAAGTTATTTATTTCATATTCTGTATAGTTTTTCATATTTATATCCTGTTCATATCCTGTACATAGCTTGTACTCACTACAGCCTGTACATACCTATAGTTATAGAATATTCACAACATACTTCATACTGTGTAGATTATAACATACCATAACAGACCCATTTCTGTAATATACTTACATATCTATATTATTGCTAATATATATTGTAATATATCTATATCACTAAAGCACTTCTGGATGGATGCAAACTGCATTTCGTTGCCCTGTACCTGTGCATGTGCAATGACAATAAAGTTGAATTCTATTCTATTCTATTCTAAATGGGGATGCAGATTACTAACTAGGAGAGCTGACTAGACTACCTAGATTGCAATGATTCAAAGCAGGTGCGAGAAGAACAGACCCACACAGAGTACTCTGCCAGAGACGGAGCAACAAGTCAAAATGAAAAAAAATGAAAGAAAAAATTGACCAAAATGGTTGTGATTCATTTTGTTCCAGGTTCTCATCATTTTGTGAATATACAGCTACAAGAACCTTTTCTACATGCTGCTCCATAGTCGAAAGCTCCAAAGTCCCATAGGAAGTCAACTGCAAGACTAGAATCACAACTCTGTATTCCTTTGCATTCACTTAAATGAATGCTGCTATCAAGTTAAAAAAAATATTTTTAGTAAAATGTTTTTAGTAAAATGTCCCATATTAATTAAACATTAGTCCTGTAGGCAGCACAGCATAAGATTCCCATTGTTTCTTCACAGCAAAAAGGGTTTTAATCCCTCAGCTGGGGCTGTTCCAGGTCAAGTTTGTACGTTCTGCGGTTACCTGCAGTGTTCTGCTTGGGTACTCTGGCTTCCTCCCCCAGTTCAACCACGTGCAAAATTGAATCTAACTGTGGAGCATTGCTTGCTATAAAAATGTAAAGAACTGGACTTAAAAATGTTATATCTACATGATATATTTCACTTTGTCATATCTGATGTTGGGCTAAACTCGGTTATGCAGAATGTAGTGACCTTTGCTGCACTTTAGGCATTTTAGTAAGAAAACAAAATGCAAATTCAATACAGTGGTGGATTATGTAAGTCACAAAATAACTTTGAGTGTCCCACTTAACTATTTCTCTTCAATATAAGGCAGAAAATTATTGAAAAGTACACAGTGGTCTCTGGCTCCTGAAGATAGCTTCAACTAACATTGATTGTATATGCGTTTTCAGTTACAACAGATTATGTAACAGTTAGGCTCTACAATATTGCCACAGTTAATCTGTTAAGTGCTTAAATATAGAACAACTCAATTTTCTGAGTTGACAGGTGTAAGTGATGAGTATGACTAATATAAAACATATTTATAGGGCTTAAATGCAACCCTTTGTGAAATAGCTACTAACAGTTTATGTTTAGTTCAGATCACTGTACCGTATGACCACTGTTGGTTTTTCCCTTCCACTATGAGCAATCATAAAGACTAATTTTTTCAAAAAACAAAAAGCAAAAAACAAAACCCAACCAAGCAAACAAACAAACAAAAACAGAATGCAAAACTATGTATTCTTAAATACAGCAATCTAAAGAGTACAGAAAAGATAAAGGTTTTATACAGAAGCATTCACTGTCAGAGATAAAAGGAGAAAGGGTCATGTTAGCATTAGATGATGAGGTGTGGCGTTACTCTAAGAAAACACCTTTAACTTTTGACTCACTCTATTTACAGGTGTCAAAGGAACTTGTCGTTTTGGTTTCAGTCATTTTTTAATTGAGACATAAACTTTATTTGGGCTTAAAGGTTTTAGATTAGTTACTGAGTAATGAAAGCAATGCTTATTTTCTGTGTAAGGAGACAAATGCATGATTCTGCATAACCTGTTAAAAAAAAAATTGTCCTTGAAAGCTGAGTTCAAAAATTTGCAAAAACAAAAGCACCCCCCTGAAAAAAAATTGTGCTTGTGCACTGACACTACTCTCCAATTTGCTTTTAATGTAATTTTTAAAACCTTTTTGGCATGCAGAGGTGCACAGGAAACTACATCGTTTAATTTATTTCTTTCATGTTCAGTCCTAAATGAAGTGCTTCGCTGCAGTAATATGCAGTAATAGCATACAGACTCTTGAATGCAGATTTTGAACATCTCTGAGGTCAAGAATCAGCTAGACCAGAACAGATAACCCTAAGTGTGCGATCCCTTCTCTGCGTCATTTATTTTTGAGAAACGATCACAGAACTAACTAGACAAATTAAAGTTCTAGTCGA